AAACAGAACACAAACACTCACACACAAGCGAAACACAAACACAAACACACGCACACACAACACAGACACACATACAGGCACAAGCACAAGCACAAACACACACAAGCACAAGCACACAAATACGAACACACCCACACACAACACACAAACACAAGCACACACAAGCACAAATACAAACACGCACGCACACACCCACACAGCACACACATATAAACACACACACAACCACACGCACATTCCCACATTCACACATCCACGCAATCACACACAAGCGCAAGCACAAACACATACACAGACAACAACACGGGCACAAGCACATGCAGCAGCACAACCACACGCACACACACACACACGCACAAACACACTTACTCACGAACACAAGCAACACACAAACACTTGCACACACACACACACGCGCACACACACACAAATACACACACGCACACACATTCACACAATCGCGCAATCACACACAAGCACAACCACGAACACACACATACAAACACAGGCACAAGCACAAGCACAAGCACAACCACACAGACAACCACAAACACACACACATACAAACACACACAAACACACACACAAGCAACAACACGCACAAACACAAACGCAAACGCACACACAAATACAAACGCACACGCAAATGCTCACACATTCACACACATTCACGTAATCACACAGGCAGAAACACAAACACAAACACGGACACAAGCAAAGACACACGCACAAGCACAAGCACAAACCCACACAAACACAACTACACACAGATACCACCACACACGCACAACACACACAAACACAAACACAAACACACACAAACACAAACACACACACACACGCACACACGCAAACACACACACATTCACACATTCGTACATTCACGCAATCACACACGAGCACAAACACAAACACAGACACAGACACAACCACAGGCACAAGCACAAGCACACGCGCAAACACACAAGCACAACTACACACAAATACAAACACACACACACACAAACAACACACAAACACAAACACATATTCACACATTCACACATTCCCGTAATCACACACAAATGCAAGCACAAACGCACACGCAGACACATACACAGGCACAAGCACAAGCACAAGCACGCACACTCACAAACACAAATACACACATACAAGCACAAACACAAACAAGCACGCACGCACAAACACACAAGCACAACTACACACACGCACACACACAAGCAACACACAAATACAATCACACACGCACACATGAAACACACACACATTCACACAATCACACAATCGCGCAATCACACACAAGCTCAACCACAACCATAAACACAGGCACATACACCGGCACAAGCACAAGCACAAGCACAACCACACAGACAACCACAAACACACACAAATACAAACACGCACACAAACAACACATTCACACACAAGCACACTCACGCATTCACACAGTCACACATTCACGCAATCGTGCGCAGGCACAAACACAAACACACACAAAGACACACACAGGCACAAGCACAAGCACACGCACACACACAAACACAAATACACACAACTACACACAAATACAAACACACACACAAACACAAACACAAACACAACCACACACGAACACAACCACACTCGCACACAACACACACAAACAAAACACAACCGCCCACGCCCACGCACGCCTCCCCCCCCACCCCCCACCCCACACACACACACACACACACACACATTCACACACACAAACAAAACACAAGCACACACATTCACACATACACGAATTCACGCATTCACGCAACCACACACACAAGCACAATCACAAACACAAACACAGACACAGACACGAACGCAGACACAAGCACAAACACAAACACACACAAACCCAAATACATACAAAACACCCACACACAAACAAACACAAACACTCGCACACAAGCACATCACAAACACAAGCACAAACACAAACACACACACACACACACGCACACACACATACAAACACACACACACACGCACACACAAACACACACATACACACATTCACACATTCACGCATTCACGCAATCACACACACGCACAGACACAAATACAAACGCAGAGACAAGCACAGGCACAAGCACAATCACAAGCACAAACACACACACAAATACAAACGCACAATAATACAAACACACATAAACAATCCACAAACACACACAATCACACTCACACGCACACACAAATACACACAAACCCACACACACATCTACACATTCACATGTTCATGCAATCACACACGAGCACAAACACGAACACACACAGACATCAACACAGGCACACTCACAAGCACAAGCACAAGCACACACAAACACAAATACTCACAACTACAAACACACACACAAACAACACACAGGCACAAACACAATCACACCCACAAACACAAGCACACACGCACACACACACAATCACACACAACACACACACAAATTCACACATTCACACACTCACGCAATCATACACAAGCACAAACACAAACACAAACACAGGCACAAACACAGGCACAAGCACAAGCACAAGCTTTAACACACAAACGCAAATACACACATACAAACACACACAACCAGCACACAAACACAAACACCAATACAATCACACAGAAACACAAACACACACGCGCACACACAACTACAACCACACACAAACACACATTCACACATTCACGCATTCACGCACTCTCGCACAAGCACAAACACGAGCACACACACAGACGCAAACACAGGCACAGGCACAAGGACAAGCTTTAACACGCGAACGCAACTGCACACAAACACGAACACACACACACACAAACAACACACACAACCACAGACACAAACACAAACGCAAGCACAAACCCAAGCGCAAGTACGGACACAAGCAAAGACACACGCACAAGTTCAAGCACAAACCCACACGCACAACTACAGACAGATGCAACCACACACACAACACACACAAACACAAACACAAACACACACAAACACAAACACACACACGCACACAAATAAAAACACACACAAACACACACATCCACACATTCGTACATTCACGCAATCACACACGAGCACAGACACGAACACTAACACAGACACAAACACAGGCACAAGCACAAGCACACGCACAGACCACAAACACACAAATACAACACACACACAAATACACAAACACACACATTCACACAGTCACACATTCACGCAATCGTGCGCAGGCACAAACACAAACACACACAAAGACACACACAAACACAAGCACACGCACAAGCACAAACACACACAAACAAAAATACACACAACTACACACAATACAAACACACACACAAACACAACCACAAACACAAACATAACCACACACACACAAACACAACCACGCTCGCACACACATACAAATTCACACACACACGCACACACACAAACACACACACATTCACACATTCACGCATTCCTGCAATCACACACAAACGCTGACACAAACACAGGCACAAACACAACCACAAGCAGAAGCACACACACGAATACAAACCCAAACAAATACAAACACACACAAACAACACACACAACCACAAACACAATCACACACACGCACACACAAATACTCACACAAACACACACACACATCTACACATTCACACGTTCACGCAATCAAACACGAGCACAAACACGAAGACACACACAGACACCAACACAGGCACACTCACAAGCACAAGCACAACCACACACAAACACAAATATTCACAAATGCAAACACACACACACAAACAACACACAAACACAGGCACCACACACAGTCAAACCCACAAACACAAACACACACGCACACAAACACACACACAACACACACATTCACACATCCACACATTCACGCAATCACACACAAGCACAAACACAAACACAAACACAGGGCACAAACACAGGCACAAGCACACGCACACGTTTTAACACACAAGCGCAAACACCCACAAATACAACACACACAAACGCAGGCACAAGCACAGGCACAAGCACAGGCACACACAAACACAAGCACACACGCACACACAACTACGCACACGCACAAACACAAGCACACACAAACACGCAAAAAAACACATTCACACATCCACACATTCACGCAATCTCGCACAAGCACAAACACGAACACAAACACAGACGCAAACACAGGCACAGGCACAAGCACAAGCTTTAACACACGAACACAACTACACACAAGCTCGAACACACACACACACACTCACACACACAAACAACACACACAAACACAACCACAGACACAAACACAAACAGAAACACACACACACACACACATTCGCACTCACGAACGTTTGTCCCCGCTCTCGGGCCGCGTGGGGCCCGAGGCTTGGCTTCCCCGGGACGGTCTGGAGGCGACGCCGGATGAGAGGCACGCCCCGCGGAAGGCCCCACCCCCCCCTCGAGGTGCAGGGCCCGTTTCCACCAGGGCCCTCTTCCCAGACACGTCGGGCCCTCGTTTTGAATTCGCGGCGCCGCGCGCGTCCTCCTCCTCCTCCTCCTCCTCCTCCTCCTCCTCCTCGTCCTCCTTCTCCTTCCTCCTCTCCTTCTCCTTCCTCCTCTTCTCTTCCCCTTTATCTTCTTCCTCCTCTCCTTCTCCTCCCCTCCACCTCCTTCCTCCTCTTCTCTTCCTCTTCTCCTCTCCGCCCCTCCATCCTCTTTGCTCTTCCATGTCTGCGCACCCCTCACACGCTGCGTGGACCCTTTCTCCCCAGACCCGCGACGCCCTTCTTGCTTTCTTTCAGTGCGGGGTCCCTGGACGCCCCGCCCCTTTCCCCAGGTCCAGCTTTTTCATCCAGAGTCGTTCTTTGTTGATCGTCCTGGGGCCCAGCGAGGGCCCTCAGGCGACGAGAACGTCGACGTCGACGACGACGACGTCGACGACGGTGACGGGGCGGGAAACGGACGAAAACCGCCCGTCGTGATTTTTGTTTTCGACGCGAGCATGTCCGGGCCTCCCTCGCTCCGACAAGGCGGGCATCAAGAAGGCCGTCCTCGAATCGGGCCTGGCGGCCGTTGAGGAGGCCTGGACGGTGTCCTACGCTGAGCTGCGCGAGCACGCCGCGGAGGTCTCGTGGAGCATCGCGGAGCTGCTGGCCGATGTGGAGGTGCGCCACGTGGCGTACCTTGTCGGCCCCGGCGTTGGTTACGTCGTCGTGCAGCTGGCGGTGTGGGGCTGCGGTGGCTGGGATCGGAGAAGGAGAACGTATGTAAACATCAACTTGCGGAGCTCCGAAAGTTCATGTTGATGCAGGTCTCCTGCCTTTATGGGAGCCCCCCCGAACGAAAAAGGAGGGAGGGGGCGTTTGGCGCTGGGCGACCTTGCCGAGGTGCGGGGGGCCCAGCCGCGCAGGGGGGGGGGGGGAGAGCGAGGAGGTGGAGAACGACAACGAGGACAAGGAATGCATACAGCCAAGACGCTGAAACATGGAACGGTTCGGGTTCGGAAGGGCTCCTCGCGCACCCAGGCGCTTCTGAGGCCCCACGGAGGCCTCGTTCCTTGTGCGGCGTTCCTTATGGCAGCAGCTTGACTGTAGCGGGGTGGGCAAGTATCGCCGCTCGGTGCAAGGAACGGGCGGAGGAGGAGGAGGAGCGAGGAGGAGGAGGAGGAGGAGGAGGAGGAGGAGGAGGAGGAGGAGCGAGGAGTAGGAGGAGGAGGAGGAGGAGGAAGAAGAAGCCCTCTCGTGGCAACGTTGGGGCGCATTTCGCGGGCCGCGGCTGCGGCCAGTGAACAGCGGCCTGCGCCAGGCGGGGTGTGCGTGCCGCTCTCGGCGCACTCGGCCCCGGCGGAGCTGGAGCGGCTGCTGCTGGGCAGCGATTGCGGGCTGGCCCTCGCCGACGGGCCGTCCGAGGCGCCGCCGCCGTCGCCGCCTTCCCAGAGAGCCGAGGCTCCGAACAAAAACGGAGGGGCCTGTGTTTCTACTCTCGGCCTCAAGGGGGCCCTCAACGGGCCCCAGGACCGTCACAGGATTGCCTAGGGTGAAAAGCCGGCTCCAGGGAAGGTGTCCAGACCTCCCCGGGTTCACGCATCGAACGAGTCGAGGCGCCGGATGTCTGGGCTTGTCGGGGGCATTCAAGATGGGGGCGAGGACCATACCGTTTTGTGAGCCAGTGGGGATTAGCGGCGACCGCGAGATCTTGGGACTTAGGTCAGTCTCCCACGCGCGACGGCGCCGACTACCTGGATTTTCCCTCCCTCCCTCCTCCATATCTCACTTGTCGCTTTGACTTGCAGTAAACGCGCATGCCTTCCACACACGACCGTATATTTCTCATACGCACCTCTCCGAGGGAGTAGAACTCAGAGGCGATTAACTGAAGGCCGCGCCGCGTCCGCGATTCTTCTGGCCGTTTCGCTAGGGACATTCTCGGAATTCTGAAAATCGGTGGCGGCCCTCACACAGATCGTGACGTCAGGGTTCAAAAACGCAGGGGGATTTCAACATTCTAACACAAAACCTGCAACAACACAATCTAATTTCAATGATTTTGACCCGATTCTCAAATAATGGCGGTTTCGCCTGAGACATCCTCCGAAAATCGAGCCCCCACGTACCTTCTGGTACCCTAGACCCCGCCTCGGAGCCTCCTGGGGGCCTCCTGGAACCTCCTGGGGCCTCATTGGGCCTGCGGTCTCTTGGTCGGGCCTCCTGGAGCCTCTTGCGGCCTCCATGGACATCCTCGCAACTTAGAGCCCAGATGTATTCTCCTTCGGCCTCCTGGAGCCTCTTGCGGCCTCGTGGTCGGGCCGCCTGAGGCCTTCATGGACATCCTCGCAACCTCGATCCAGACGACCCCTCCTGGGGCCTCCTGGAATATTTTCCGGCATCCTGGTCGGGCCTCCTGAGACTTCCTGGGGGCCCGTGGTACACACATCGCAAGGTGTGGCAACCCCGCTTGCGCTCGAGTGCGACCCCGCTATTGCACTTCACTCCTAGCAGCCATCCTCCTCCTCCTCATCCTCCTCCTCCTCCTCCTCCTCTTCTCGTCCTTCTCTTCCCCTCCACATCTAGTGAAACAAATCGGCTGGTGGCAATCGGCTGATGGGAATCGTCATGGTGTCTTCCTGCTCCAAACGACCTTTCAGTTGTTTGTATGAGCCTGGGCACACACGTGCCACTTGTGTATATATATATATATATACATATGTGTGTGTATATATATATATATGCGCGCAAGACTGCAGCGGCTCCTGCGCCATTCACCTTGGGTCCTTCGAGTTTCGCACGCGGGCGGCGTGCGTGCGGGTGCCCATGCGCGCGCGAATCTGTGCATAAGTGTCATACACGCGCACGTGCATGCATGCCATACATATGTAGACTCATAGGTGTATATATACGTGTGTGGGTGGAATCATGAACATATATATATATACACATTATAGATCCATGCGTGCGTACGCATATGTATCATGCATACTTGGGCAGATCGATGTGTACACATATGCATGTTTATATACATGTACGCAGTCGTGGCCACAGCGGGGAGGGGCAGAAACGCAGTGAAGGGCTCGCGAGTGCCGAAAGACTTGGGTAGGAGACGGCATGGAGGACACGGCAGAATGTTGAACGGCAACCTGGGCTTACCAATGACCGTGTACTATGGAAGTAGCCGTGTGAGGGCCTTGGGGGGCCTCGGGACCTCGTCGCAGTTGGGCTCGAGTCTCTCGACGCTGAAGTCGTTTTGCGCCGCCGAAAACTCTTGGGAGGCCTCGCGTTCAGAGTGTTAACGTCACGTGGACCTTATTGGAGCCTCCCGGAGCCTTCTGAGGGCCTCTGCGGGACGTGGTGCAGTCCCGTTATGGCTTTGGCCCGTTATGGCTCAGTTGGGCTGTCTTGGGGTCATGTTCGGGCTCCTGGCCCGTTTTGGTCCTGTCTTGGGGGACTTTTCGGGCGTTTTCGAACTTCTGTGGGGTCCTTGCGGGATATTTGGGGACTCTTGGGGGGGCCTCTTGGGGCTTCCTGGGGGCCTCTTGTTGGGGGCCCCTTCGGGGGCTCTTAGGAGCATCCCGCTGGGGCCCTGACGGGACTGCCTGGGGGCCTCTTGGGCCGGTCTGGGGCCCTTTTGAGCCGGGTTGGGGCCCTCTTGGAGGTCTGTCGGGCCGTCTTAGGGCTATCTTGGGGGCCCCGTGGGCCGTCTTGGAGCGTCGGGAAGCCGAAAAGGGGATAACTCAAAAATTTCCCACAAACCAACGGAGAACTAATGATATTTTGCATCGTGGGGCCCTCTTGGGAGTGCTCTGGGAGGCCTCTTGGGAATTTTTGGAGCGATCTCGAACTTCTGTGGGGTCCTTGCGGGATCTTTTGGGGCTCTTGGGGGCCTCTTGGGGCTTCCTGGGGGCCTCTTGACGGCCTCTTAAGGCCTCTTCGGGGCCTCTTGGGAGTTTCCTGGGGCTTTCTGGGGCCCTGCCAGGACTCTCTCGAGGTCATCTTGGGCCAGTTTGGGGCCCTCTTGGAGGTCTGTCGGGCCATCTTAGGGCGATCTTGGGGGGCCCGTGGGCCGTCTTGGAGCTTCGGGAAACCGAAGAGGGGAGAACTCCCAAATCTTCCAACGGAAAATCAATGAGATTTGCCTCGTGAGGCCCTCTTGGGAGTGCTCTGGGAGGCCTCTTGGGACGTTTCAGAGCGATCTTTGGGGTATGTCGGCTCCTTTTGGGTCGTCGTCGACCGTCTTGGGGCTCTCTGGGGTCGTTTCGGGAGTGCGCCAGAACGTCGAGGGCCGTCTGTGGGCTCTCGTGAGGTCCTCCCAGGTCGTCTGGGGGGCTGCCCAAAAGGCCCGTGGTGGGCCAAATTCGTTAGGTGTGGAGGTGGGGCGCTATTTCCGGGGTCCCCAGCCCTGTAGAAATACATGAGGAGGTGTGTGTGTGTGTGTGTATATCTATGTGAACGTATGTATACAGAGAGAGAGAGAGAGAGAAAGAGACATAGGCAGAGAGAGAGATGGAGGTCACGGCCTCGGCCGTCTAGCCTTACATAGGCCGGGAGGATGATCCGCATTGGTGACTCGCTCGCTCGCTCGCTCGGGCGACTGGGGCCCCCAAAGCACCAAAATGGTGCGGTGACGGACACCGTGCAGTGATGCCCTTATGAGATGAGATCTCGAGGTCGTCGCACGGCCTGTCACCACACTTGTCTTGCGTCCACCCAATGGCGGGGTCGAGGACTGCGGGCGTGTGGGCATCATGGCGGGGGCCATGGCATCTCGTGGATTTCGTGGCCCGTCCTTCCTCTTTCAGTATACGCTCCCTGTTCCCTCCTCGTCGTCCGCGCACATATGCCTCGGGCCATGGTGCGCCAGACCCCTTCTTCCTGGGCCCTCCTCCTCCTCCTCCTCCTCCTCCTCCTCCTCCTCCTACTCCTACTCCTACTCCTACTCCTCCTCCTCCTCGTCCTCCTCCTCCTCCTCCTCCTTCTCCTCCTCCTCCTCCTCCTCCCCCTACTTATTCTCGTCGTCTTGGTCCTGGTCCTCGTCCGGCCTCTCGTTTCCCTCCTCCTCATTCCTTTCTCCTCCTCCTCCTCCTCCTCCTACCCTTCCTCCTCGCTTCCTCCTCCTCCTTCCTCTCTCCTCCGCCTCCCCGCCACCTCCTCCTCCTCCTCCCCCTCCTCCTCCTCCTCCCCATCTTCGCTCTCATCGTCCCCTTGATTCACAGGAGCTTCTGTTTTGAACGATGCAGCCTCAATGGCAAACCATTTTTGTGCCGTTGGCACGAAGCCTGCTGGCGAGCCGGCTGAGGGCGACAACCAGCGGGCAAAGCGTGTGGCTCTGGCTTCTACCACAGAGTCGAAAGTGGACTTTGCCTTGAAGCTCAGCGTGATTAACTCGCAGCGTAGCAGGCTGCTGGAAGCTGCAGCGACCAATCATTTCGTGCTGAAAACGGACGGCGATCTCTTCATTGCCATGAAAAAGGCGCACGACGAGGAGTACCTGCCGAGAGTTAAAGGACACAAGGGCCATAATCTCGGAGCTCCTGATTATTTTCAAGTTTCGGCGGCTTTGATGATGTTAGCAGGCAAGGGGTCCGCGGAGGATCAGGCTGCCGTTCGCAAGTACATGGGCAACCACGTCCCAGGTTCTCTTCCTGCGCAGTTCTGCGTGAAGCTCTTCAGGACAGAAGGCGTTTAACTCTAAATGCAAGAGGTTGATCATGGCCCTCGCTGACAAAGGTCCAGAGAAGACGGTGCTGACTCGGATCCACCAGCACATGGGAGAGAGAGTCCTGAATTACTGGGCCCAGGCCTGCTGGCTACTTGGAGGTGACGGGACAGAAGATGCTGAACCCGCAGTGAGTGTTCTGTATGGTGGCAGGCCGCGTGGAGGTGGAGGGCCACAAGATGTGAGTCCGCAGTGCCTGGTACTGCTGCTTTGACGTCTTGCCATTCAGTCGCAATTTCAGGATCCCGAGGGCTGCCGCCATCCCTTAACTTTTTGGGCGACTGCCATTCCAGGAAATAGGCCGTGCGCCGTCAGCTGCCGAGAGGCACTGACGCTGGCGCCCCCCAGTTCGTGGGGTGCCGGGGCTGGCGAGTAAGGGGGTTGCCCCAATTGTGTCTTCAGACCATTCGACCTTGGTCTCATCGGAGTGCTACGTACCTACCTCCTCCTACTGCTCCTCCCCCTCCTCCTCCTCCTCCGCCTCTTCCTCCTCCTCCTCCTCCTCCTCCTCCTCGTCCTCGTCCTGCTCCTCCTCCTCCTCCTCCTCCTCCTCCACCTCCTCCTCCTCCTCCTCCTCCTCCTCCTCCTCCTCACCTCCTCTTTGCCCCTCCTCGCTCCTCCTTCTCCTCCTCCCCCCTCCCCCCTCCTCCTCCTCCCCTCCTCCTCATCTCCTCGTTTTTGCTCCTCGCTCCTCGTTCCTCCTCCTCGCATCTCCTCCTCCTCCTCCTCCTCCTCCTCTCCTCCTCCTCCTCCTTCCTCCTCCTCCTCCCTCCTCCTCCTCGCTCCTCCTCCTCCGTCGCCCCTCCACCTTCTCCTCCTCCTCGTCTCCTCGTCCTCTTGCTCCCCTCCCCCCCCACCTCCTCCCCCTCCTCCTCCTCCTCCTCCTCCTCCTCCCTCCTCCTTCCCCTCCTCCTCCTCTCCTCCTCCTCCTCCTCCCATCCTCCTCCTCCTCCTCCTCCTCCTCCTCCTCCTCCTTCTTTATCCTTCCTCTCCTCCCCTCCCCTCCTCCTCGCCTCACCTCCTCCTCCTCCTCCTCTCCTCCTCCTCCTCCTCCACTGCTCCTCGCCTCCTCACTCCTCCTCCTCGCTCCTCCTCGCTCTCGCTCCTCGCTCCTCGTTCCTCGCTCCTCGCTCTTACGTTCTTCGCTCCTCGGTCGTCCTCCTCCTCTTCCGTTCCTCTTCCTCCTCCTCCTTCCTACCTCCTCCTCCTCCTCCTCCTCCTCCTCCTCCTCCTCCTCTTCCTCCTCCTCATCATACTCCGCCTCCCCTTCCTCCTCCTGCTCCTCCTCCTTCTCTCTGCCCCCATTTCGACGCACTCCGCTGTCGTCGCCGTCGAGTCCGAAGGGCCAGAGTGGGTCCTGGGCGCCGAAGTGACCCGGGCCCACTCCAACCCCGAAATCTGGGCGGTGCACGTTTGTTCGCACTGGGCGTCGTCGCTCGGTTTTCGGGCCGGGTATGGTCGTGATTTTTCGCTGTGTCGCATTGTTGAGCAACGTCGGATGTCAGGGGACCTTGAGGGGTCGGACCCAGTCCGGCTCCGACTTCGAAAAGGTCCGAGGCGCCGAAGCGAGTATGAGGAGTCGAAGTGGAATCGAGCGACCGCGTGCTGGCGATCGCCGACGGACCGTCCAAGGCGCCGCCTGCGTCGTCGCCTTTCTTCAAAGAAGAACGTGCGAGATACACGTGAACTTCTGAAGCCCACGCGGACTTGGATCTGCATCGGACCCCAGTGGCGGTGCATCCAGCGCAAACCCAGGGTTTCTTCGCGTGTCTGGGAGGTGGGCCCAGCGCCGATCCAAGGAGTCCGCCAGGACATTTAAATCGCGATGTTTATGGGTTATGGTATTATTATGTTTGCTTTCTCCTTGAAATTCGACGGCTCAGGTTTGAAACTTGTTCGAGGTTTTTGGACGGGGGGCCTCCGCAGATATTTTCCTGAGTCACTTGGGGACCTCGATGCCTCCAGAGATCCCCAGGGGATCCCTGGGAGCGCGTCGTCGTCGTCGTTGTCGTCGTGGGCATCCTTCGAAACTGGTGGGGAAGGAGAGGGGTATGGAAGGGGGGGCGACGACGAGACTTTCTTGTGACCCCAGAGGTCACCCAGAGGCCTCCTGTTCAAGAGCGCCAAAGACACCCAAAGGTCTTGATCCTCGATTATCGACCGTCCTCGATTCTCGATCCATGGTTCTCGATTCTCGATCCACTATCCTCCACTCTCGATTCTGGAGCCTCCCTTTTCGATCCTCGATTCTCGCGACCCTCGATTATCGATCCATGATTTTCGATTCTCGATCCACTATCCTTGACCCTCCACGCACGATTCTCGAGCCTCCATTCATCGAGGATGAAAGAACTGCAAACCCGAATCGCACGATGAAGAAGTAGCTTCACTGAGGTCCCCGTATTTGCACGAGGGGTAATCGAGATGGGCGGTTTTCTTCGATACATCTGCAGGCAAGACCACCTATCCCTAATGTTTTCGGCCCTCCTAACTTAGGACCCCTCCCAAAGAGTCAGGGATCCTTCATTGCTAACCATCGATCCTCGATTCTCACTCCTCGACCCTCGATCCTCGATCTTTCATCCCCCCCTCCCCCGCGCAAGGCCAGGCTTCGCCCTCCCGCGGAGAAGCTGGGTAAGCGCTTCGCCTCCCTCGCGGTCAGGAGTGGTCTGGAGGCGCCGCCCGTCGTCGTCGTCGTCGTCGTCGTCGTCGCCTTCGTTGTCGTCGTCGTCGTTGTCGTCGTCCCCCTACTCCTCATCCTCCTCCTCCTCCTCCTCCTCATCATCATCATCATCCGTCTCATCCTCCTCCACCTCCTTCCTCCTTCTCATTCTCGTCCTCATCATCATCATCATCCTTCTTCTTATCGTTCTCCTCCTCCTCCGCCTCCTCCTCTTCCTCCTCCTCCTCACCCTCATCCTCATCCTCATCCTCATCCTCCTCATCCTCCTCCTCATCCTCCGTAGCCATTGGGTGCGTTCCATATAGGGCCTCGCCTTCGAAGGGATCGAGAAGTTGACATCGCGTCCTCGGCGGAAGGCGGCGGAAGGCAGACGGAAGCGGCTGGAAGTAATGTTGCGTCCCAGAGCGATGCCAATCTCTTTTGGATTCAGGGTTTCTGGAATTGGCCATGTTGGCTCCATGTGACTTCGTTTCCGAGGCTTCCCCCCGGATCATCCTTTCCGCTGGTCCGCCGCAGATCATTAATCCTTTCTGGGTCAGGCCTCTCCCACATCGCGAGGTCTGGCCGCACAGTAGGAACCATGTCGCACGTTACCCGATTCTGGTTTCTGAGGCTTCTCTGGCGTCAGCGCTGCGTCTCCCAGCACAGGGGCACCAGCAAGCCTCAAGCGTGTCAGAAGGCGACAGTACCCCAGAATGGCAGGCGCCTGAGAGCTCGGTAAGTGCAGCTTCTGGCGACTCCAGCAATCGGAGCAATTCGAGGACTGGACCCAAGAATCGAGAGACGAGCGCAAGCAGCAATCGTGTCAGAAGACGCCAATACCCCAGAATGGCAGACGCCTGAGAGCTCGGTGAGTGCAGGCTCTGGCGACTGCAGCACTCGGAGCACCTCGAGGACTGGACCCACGAAGAGAGACGAGCGCAAGCACGAGAGCGCCCGTCCGAGCACCACGGCGGCAACGACAGGCGCCAAACAGCACGTCCAGGCCCTTTCCGAAGGACGCCGCCAGCGATCGAAGAAGAACAACTGCACAGACATAAACCTTTGAAGTTTCGGGCGGATTTTTGGATCGGTGGACAGCCGCCGACCCCTCGCCAACCGCTCGCACTGGCCCACAGGGCCTCGAGTCCCCCGCGGCACGAGCAATCGATTGGATCAGCAGCGCCTGGATACCAGATGACCTGCACATCGACGCGCAGCGCACCGACTCACTGCTGCCGCTGCTAGAGCGCTTCAGCGAAGTGGCTCCCCACGGGCCCGTCCACAAGTTTGGGAGCGACCTCACCGACTGCATTACGAACGTCCCGCACTAGTCACTATACCAGGAGGTCCTCGCGGCAGAGGGCATCTCGGTCATCGCCGCCCCACGCCGTTCGAGCCGCCCATGGCCTCGCCCCTCCACGCGGCCTTCCAGCCTGCGGACCTCGGCGCTGCTATCGAGCACAGCCTTGCCAATCTCTGGCTCGCGGTGGGCACGCTCGCCGGCTGGGCCACCGTTACGTCGCTCAGGAGGAATCTTCTAAACAAATTGCCTGGGGACGATGTTTCGACTATTCTTGACCGTTTTTGAATTACTTGTTGACAAGTTTTCATAATTCTTCCAAATTCCGCCTGTAGGGGGACATGTCCGACCTAAGGTCACAGACTGACTCACCATGGGCAGCTCCTCGGCCGGCGCCCTCACCCGAATAGGGTTTATGTATTGCGACGTCGTCTTCCACTCCTCCCTATACGGCGGGCGCGGTATCCCGCCGCCTGCTCGCGCTAGGGAGCGATACGATGTCGTCGAGGGCGTCCGCATCCTGATCCTCGAGTCCCAGTGCATGGACGAGTGCACATGCCTGTGGAAGGCCCTGGGCGACTCGCCACCTGCGTCTCTTCGTCGCGTGGCCGAGACCCTGGCGCCGACGCGCCGAGGCCTCCTCCTCCTCCTCCTCCTCCTCCTCCTCCCTCCTCCTCCTCCCCTCCCCCTCCTCCTCCTCCTCCTCCTTCTCCTCCCCCCCTCCTCCTCCTCCTCCTCTTTCTTCCCTCCTCCTCCTCCTCCTCCTCCTCCTCCCGGCCCCTCCTCCTCTTCCTCCTCCTTCTCCTCCTCCTCCTCCTCCTCCTCCGTCTCCTCATCTTCCTCCTCCTCCTCTCCTCCTCCGACTGGGGATCGCGAAGGACGGCGGGCAGTGGGTCGCCCAGTCCGACTGGACCTCCTGCTTCTCCCCTCCCCCCCTCTGCCCCCCCAGGGAGAGGGAGGAGGAGGAGGAGGAGGAGGAGGAGGAGGAGGAGGAGGAGGAGAAGCATGATGAAAAATAATAATGAGAATAATAAGAATACGAATGGTAATAAAAATACGACACCTAACAATAATATTCATACTGATTTCAATAACCAGAATAGTAAACGTAATAATGCCAATGCTAACACATAACATGCTACTAATACGAATAATAATGAGGTTAGTTATAAAAAGTATAAGAAGAAAAGTAATAATAATATTATTAATAATAATACGAGTAAGAAAAATAATAATAACAATAACCAGAAGAAGAAGAGGAGGAGGAGGAGGAGGAGGAGGAGTGATCATACATGCCCTGCCCCAGCTGCTCCGGGACTGGAGCAGCGTCGCTGATTGTGCTGAGGCCTTATAAGCGGGCGCCCCTCGTCGGCAAAATGCCATGGCGCCTCCGCCTCCTCTCTCTCTCTCTCCCCCTTCTCGCCCCTTCCCGCTCCTCCCCGCCCTGGCTGTCCGAAGAACGCGACGCTCAAGGACCTCTCGTGGGGGGATTGCTTCGGCCTTGGTCCAGTTTGCCCCGCCGCCTTTATGCCGCCCTCTGCAGATCCGCCAGGATTCACAAAGCAATGGCGATGGCCGTCCAGCAACGTTTTTGGCCACACTTGAATCCGACATCCCGGCTCAGTTCTGGCCGTGCACGGGCGGCCAAATTTTTGCACCCTTGTTTGTTGCTGCTGCTGCTCCTGCTCCCTCTCTCTCCGCCTCCCTCCTCCCTCCTTGGTCTACCCTCATGGGTTTCTTCCTCCTCCTCCTTTCGTTCCCCTTCCCGCTTGGACGCCTGGTCGCAAGTGTGTCCGATCCCTGCGAGGTTTTCGTCTGCCCGCGTGGACTTCCTCAGGACCTGTCATCTCCGAGGCGGCCTCGGACGCGCGGTGGTGCTCCCCTTCTCTCTCTCGCCCAACCTCTCGGCAGGGACCGCCAATAGGCTTCGCCGGTGAGAACCGCCAATCGGCCTCACACCCTGCACAGCGTCCATCACTGGGGCTTCGAGGGTTCCTGCTTCCGCCGGTCAACCTTCAACTTTGCCGACACTTGGCACGCAGGGGCCGAGGACCCCCTACGGTCCCTCGGCTAACGACGACGGCGGTGTAAGTGCGGGGGGACCCGCACTTCCACTTCGAGGCACACGTGCCACCACCTCCAGTTCAAGGCGCCAAGTGCCACCTGCCATACCTATACACCCTCCTCCCTCCGCCATCCGTCCTCCATACCCCATCAGCTCTCCATCCTGCCATTCAATCCATCCTCCAATCCTTCCTCCATCCTCGCCCCCTCCAGCTCGAGAGCTCGCTGGCCTCACCGCCCTTTCTCTCCTCCGCCCCCCAGGCGGGGCCGCGCTTCGTCCTCAGCGCCTGTCCCACCGCCTGGTTCCCCGCATCAGACGTTCCCCGGCCCGGCGCCGAGGAGAGCGCCAGGGGCATCGCCGCCGCCGCCGTCGCCGTCGTCGTCGTCTTCGTCGTTGTCTTCGTCGTCGTCTTCGTCGTCGTGGGTGTCACTTTTGAGACTGCCGGATTCGAGGACGAAGAATCGCATACACATACACTTCAGGAGCTCCGCGCGGAGTTCGTTGGTCGGCGCTGGACCCCCCTGTCGCCAGGTGGGTCCAGCGCAGATCCAAGGAATGAGCGCGAAGCTCCGAAAGTTTCTGCGCACGCATAGCCTTCATACTGTATTGGTGTTCTCTAATGTTTTCGCTGATTCGCAGCCGTCGCCGTCGCCATTGCCGCCGCTGCATTCGCCACCGCCGCCGTCGTCGTCACCGCCGTTGGCGGCGGCGTCGTCGCCACCGCCATCGTGTTCGTGGTCGTCGTTTTTCCCGGAAAGGGCTCGAGCCCAGGGTTCTCTTTTAGTTTGTTTCCCCCCGGTTTCGACGGCTGTAGGGCCGGCGAAATTGTTCTGCGATAAATTACGTGCGGGGGTAGGGCCGGCGGAATTATTTTTGAGGATGTCTCGAGCGAAACGCTTGTTTTTCAGAATTTGTTGAGGATGTCTCGAGCGAGACGCTGGTTTTGCAGAGTTGGGGATGTCTCGAGCGAAACGCTTGGTTTCAGAATTTGTTGAGGATGTCTCGAGCGACACGCTGGTTTTGCAGAGCCGACCGCGACACGGAAAAGCGCCCCTCGCGCAGGAATTCCAAGGATGTCTCGCGCGTGCCGCGTCCCGCGCGCGGGTATTTGGATTCCTTGGGGTTTTGACAGGATGTCTCGAGCGAAACGCTTGTTTTTGATAATTTGTTGAGGATGTCTCGAGCGAAACGCTGGTTTTGCAAAATTGGAGGATGTCTCGAGCGGTGGCCCCGTGGGGGTCCAGAATTCAGAGGATGTCTCCGGCGAAATGCTTGTTTTCACGTCCCGCTTGCAAGAATTCCGAGGATGTCTCGCGCGTGCCACGTCCCGCGCGCAGGAATTCTGAGGATGTTGGCAGGATGTCTCGAGCGAAGCGCTTGTCCCCAGCACGTTCCGTAGCGCGTCCCCTTGGCACGTCCCGCGGTGCGTCCCCATGGCACGTCCCTTGCCACGTCTCCTGGCGGGTCCCTTGAGACGTTCCGCGTCGCGTCCTCCTGGCATGTCCCCTTGTCAATTAGTTCTGGGGCAGCTGCTATGTGTTCAGGCAGCTCGAGCTTAAGATCCAGATCAGTTCGGTCAGGACTCGGATGCAAAGAAGGACTCGATCCACGAGGCTATAGAGCACAATCGCGGCATGGCACATCGCAATTCAGCACGGCGCAGCACAGCACAGATTTCGGCACGGTACATCAAGATCGATACACTCAGCATTGACACTTGGCACGTTCCTTGGCACGTTCCGTGGGGCGTCCTTTGGCGAGTCCCCCTGGCACGTCGCGTGGCGCGTTCCCTGGCACATCCCGTGGTACATCCATTGGCACGTTCCGTAGCGCGTCCCCTTGGCACGTCCCGCGGTGCGACCCCATGGCACGTCCCCTGGCACGTCGCCTGGCGCATCCCTTGGGACGTTTCGCGGCGCGTCCTCCTGGCATGTTCCCCTGTCCATTAGCTCTGGGGCAGCTACTATGTGTTCAGGCAGCTCGAGCTTAAGATCCAGATCAGTTCGGTCAGGACTCGGATGCAAAGAGGACTCGATCCACGAGGCTATAGAGCACAGTCGCGCCATGGCACATCGCAATTCAGCACGGCGCAGCACAGCACAGCCCTCGGCAGGGTACATCAAGATCGATCCACTCAGCGTTGCAGTTGCCCGTCACCCAATCAGGTGTCTTTGAAAACGCTGCCATGTGTTACAGTTACATTCCTTTCCGGGTTCGTGGGTCGATCATGTTTGGTCGTAGTCGTTGTCGTGGTCGCCGTCGTCGTTGCCGCCGTCGTCGTTGTCGTCGTGGTCGCCGTCGTCGTCGGCCAGCCTCGAGGAGCGCGCCCGGGCGATGATCCTGTTCACGGCGGGGGCGACGGGGAAGCCCAGGCCTCCTCTTCGCTGCATTGGGGGGCCCCGCACCTCCGGCGCCGTGTTTCTGTTCGGTGCTGCCGTCTGCCCTTGTCCGTCTTCGGAGGAAGGAGCAGCGACGTCACTACCAGAGGGGCCACCTCCAGCGCGGAGGTCCACGACGCCTCACCGAGCTGTGGACAGGGGACGGGATGCCTCGAGCGGGGAGGGGGAGCCACACCACCAGGAGGATCACCCCTGGCTCCTCGTGCTGGTGGTGGTGGTGTCGCGTCCCCTTGTTCCCCACACCTTGGCGGCCTCTTGGGACCCGTTTACGCACCCCTGGGCTGTCAGCAAGACGATCTGGGGTGAGAGCCGATCCCTGCGATCGCAGGGGTGGCGAGGTCCGTGGGTCACGCATGCGCAGATCAGAAAGTCGGGTGTGGCAGAAGACTGCAGCGACGATGACGAACGTGAGATGGGGCAGGCCTTCTCAAACGGCGCTGGGGCTTCTGAGAAGCCCTCTGGCCTTCTGATACGGTCGGACCGAGGTATCAGATCGAGGTCGGTTCGGGGAGGGTACCCTAATTAGTGCTCTTCGTGTTTGTTGGATGTTCATTGAGTCCTCCTGGGGGGTCAGAGCTCTTGGGGGGGCCCCACGTCAAGACGCGGGGCGGCGACACACCCCTCGGACATGCGTTTCGTCAACACGTCTGGCGGCGACACTCCATTCGTCAACACGTCTGGCGGCGACACTGGTTAAAGACATATCGTCTTTACGTGCACATCGGTCTTCACATTTTCGGGTCAATGTCAACTTTAGAACGCAATTTGAGGCACATCCCCCTGCTCAGCCTTGCCTAACCTACTTAGGCCACCCCCTGCAGCTCTGACCCCCCTGGGAAACTCAAGTATTCGTCGTCCGCCCTTCGTCTTTCGCCATTCGTCGTTCTTCGCCGATCATCGTTCGAAGCTCGCCCTTCATCGTTCGTCGCTCGTCGCTCGTCGTCGTCGTCACCCCCCGCTCGTCTCGAAACTGGACGTCTTATGTTCACGGATCGCTTTTCACACGGGATGTTGACAGATACTGCTGGTCCTAACCACTCCGACCCTATGTGAAATACAAAGGTGCAGCCCCGTGCCCCCACGTAACAGGAGCAGCACCGAGGAGCAGCAGCAGCAGGAGGATAAGCCAGAGACACGGCAGAGGTAGGAGTAGGAGGTGGAGGGGGCGGGGAAGAGTAGGGACAGGACTTGGGAGTAGCGGCGGGAATGGGAGGGGAGTCGGGACGGGAGTGGGATGGGGGAGTAGGGGCGGGAGTGGGAGGTGGAGGGAGGGTGGTGCTGGTGATCGGCGAGAGGAGCGGCGCAGATTTCTCCTCGCGCCGCCTGCGGGCCCCCTCGTTTTGTCGCCGCCTCCCCGCTGCAGCCTGCAGCGGCCCTGTCGCCACTCGCCCGCGGCAGGCCCTCTGGCCCAGCACGGGCAGTGGCCTAAGAGGCAGGCCTCAAAAGCGCCTGGAAGCCCTCCCCCGCAGGCTGGAAAACGCCTGGAAGGCCCGAGAGACCACCTCGCCCTGACAGCATATGTGTGTGTGGGTTGTCCTGCGTTTAGATTGTGTACGCTGTGCGTGTTCGGTCGCATTGTTGATGTTATTGTGTGTTGTTAGGGGCCGTGCGCTTAATTCAAGTTTCAATGATAGTTTAGGTTTATTGTGAGCTCACGCGTGTGTGTGTGTGCCCCATGCGTTACGTTGCTGGTGTATTCTTCGTGTCTGTGTGTACGGTTCGAGCCCAAGCACTATTTCTATGGCTTATCTCTCCCCCCATTCACCCCAAGGTGGCCCCAGCGAGGCCGTGAAAAGGCGAGAGCACCCTAATCGCGCTTCGCGCGCTTCAGGCTGTTGGCCTGCGGTGGGCCCGAAGCGCCACGCTTCGTGCCGCCGCTGCTCGTGCCAACCTCAGACTGCGGCTCCATCTTCACGTCGAGCTGGGGCTTCTGCTTGCTGGCCGTGGACTTGGCCTCCTGCTGCGCCACCTTGGCCTTGGGCGTCTGGCAGGCGCTCTTCTCGTCGCTCTTGCTGCCGCTGCCCGCCGCGCCGCCCTTAGCGCAGGCGGCGGCGGCGCCTGCCTCGAGGCTCTCCGCCGCGACCGACTCGAACTCCCTCCAGAAGCCGACGGGCACGTCCTGGTGCTTCTCGTTGCGGTACTTCGCGAGGTAGTCGCGGGCGCGCTGTGGGCCGTTTGGCGCCAAGCGCAACTCCCCGAGCATCTCCACGCCCTTGATCATGCTCACCACCTGCCGCGCCTTCGCCTGCATGGCTGATGCAAGGGGCACGGCGCATCTCACTAGACACGCCAGTCGAGCTTATGCCAACGCCGTCATCGCCATCATCGTCGTCGTCGTCATCGTCGTCGTCACCGTCGTCGTCATCGTCGTCGTCATCGTCATCGTCATCGTCACCACTATCGCCATCGTCAGCGTCATCGTCAGCGTAATCGTCTTACATCATCCTCGTCATCGCCATCGTCATCTTCATCGTCAGCGTAGGCACAAGTCGACTGGCGATCCAGATAATGCACGGCTAACCCTTTGAAAGCCAGTGGCCAAACACGCCAAGGCAGTTGCCACGCTGGTCGCCGTGGCGTCGTGTTCCGCGACGGGCGGGGTCACGTCCATCATCCTCGCAGCCCTGATTAACCAGCTCATCGTCTTGTGCACCCTGTTGTAAGCGGCCACCACCGTGGGCTCGTCGCTGAAGATCTTCACGGCTATCTTCTCCACGTAGTTTCCGTTCCCGTCGATCGCAGAGTTGATATCTGGGAGCACGGCCTTGCATGAGTCGACGTGCGTCTGCAATATATTCGCCATCGTCTGCAGCATAGTGAGCTTCGCGCGGCCTGTAAAGACTGCGACCCCCTTGAGCCACTGCCTGAGGCTCTGAGGGTTGATGCTGCACACCCAGCCCGCCTTCTCGAAGTCGTGGAGCTCCGTCGAGTTCAAGAGCTCGTCCAAACGAAGCAACAGTCTGTGCATCATGCGGTGCGCGTGGACGTGGGCGCCGAAGACCTCCTCGTCGGTCGGCTTTAGCTTCTTGAGGTCTGAATGCACCTTCGCCGCGCAGCCAGCAACGTCCTTGACCTGCGCAATCATGTCCAAGTATACCTTCGCACTCTTCACTGGCATGCGCTCCACCTGACCGTTGCGAGTGGCGTTGGGGATCTGGATAGACTCAAGGCTGCCCGCTTCCATGAAAGATGCTAAATCTGACAAGGCTTTGTTGTAAGAAAGCTTCCCAATAGCTGTGTCATCCTCCGCTTCTCCGTCAATCCAATAGACGCTGTCCAGCAGCAGATCCTTGGGCTCGCAGCCGACGAAAAGCCTACCGAATGCGTCGGCGAAAGGGACCTCCTTCATGACGACCTCGCTGACGTCGCCCAGGGTGTAGCTGAGGCCTGGGGATATCTCCGCGAGCTTCCCGTCGACGAAGCAGTCGGCGCAATCCGTGTATACACGCATGCCTTGACGGGAAGCCCTCCGCTAAAGGCACCCCGTCGCCGCCCCAGCGAACCAAAAACCAACATCAAAAAATGCAAAAATCGGTGTTTTTTTTCCGGGCGTTGTTTGCTTTCGGGGCTGGGGAGGCGGGGCGTTTTTTCTGTGGAGGGCTTCCCGTCTTGCCTCTGGTCTCGACGAACTGCTTGAACTGATCTGACACCTCACGCACGATATCCATGCTGGTCGCTAAGCTCTCGACCCCCCGAAAGTCGAACATCGCCTGGTGCGCGGAGTGCAGCGCGCCCGCGCACTTCACGATGGTGTCCGTGAACGCCTCGAGCTCGTCCTGGGTCTGCGGCTGCCGCTGCTTCGCCTGCGCGAGCGCGACGCAGTACTTCATGATGGCTATCATGTCTTTCAGCTGGCCACTGGTGTGCTGGAGCTCCGATTCGAAGGTGCACGGATTGAGCACGTACTCTTTCGGGATATGGTCGTCCATGGCGTCGCCTACGCGCTTGTGCAACTGAAGCACGCACTTTTTCCACCTCTCGCTCATGGAGTGCAAGGTGTGCGTGAACGTCTCAAGGGTGGACTCCACCTGCGCAGCAACCGTGGAGAAGTTCTCGATTATCTCGTTCGGATCTTGCTTGATCGTCTCCGCAGCGTCGGTGGTTCCACCGCCCTCGGCACCCTCTGCGCTGCCTGCTGCTGGGCCTGGCATCTCAACCCCATGATAAACTGCAACAATAGCATCCCCAATGTCTGGCACGAGCTTCCCAAGGTTCGCAGCGTAGATGTCCACCATCATGTACTTGCCGACCTTGAGTATGGTCATTGCGTTGTTGATGTTGTCCCCGAAGAAAGTGAGGTTCGAGTGCGCCGATGCCGCCGACCACTTCGTGACCGCCGAGTGCGCGCTGGTGAAGAAGACGCCCAGGGTGGCAAACAGATTGTTGATTACAGCATAGCCTGACTTCTGAGATTCATCACGCATCTTTTGAACCCATTGCACCATGCCGTCGAAGCACTCCGCGAAATTCAGCTCGAACTTCTTCGACGCCTGGTCGAATGCAGATGTCGCCGTGTCGTCCTCGATGCTCTGAGCCACGTGAAGCCGACTGGCCTCCATGAGCGCCTTGCCCACAGGATATGCCTGCATCGTGCGCGCGAGCTCCGAAGCTGGGGAGCTCGGCTGCCTCGCCAAGTCCAGGATCACCCTCCTCGCCTGCCGCACTTGGGCAGTCGGGGGCCTGGCAGACTCGACGACGTTGACGCACCTCGCGACCACGGCGACGCTGTGCAGCACCTCCAAGGCGAAAATGCCCCGACTCATCCGTAGCATCTGGAATCCAAAACTTGATTTTCACCCTGCCTGAGGGTATCCAAAACTCGATTTTAACCCGGCCTGGAGATATCAAAAAGAAAATCGTCTTATCTGTTTTTGTTGTTTTTTTCAACGGCCCTCCCATGGAAAACGAAAGCTCTGGATGGTCAGAGGCTTTTTTGCCACACGGTACCTCAGAGAAGGTATCGTCCTCCGACT